TCACTGGGTCCAGGTACATGGGGTGGTCCTGGTTGGGCTTCTTTGGATTCCTGCCAGCTACCAAGTAAATGTTGAAGCAAAACCATTTCCTGGCTTCTGGAATCCCCTGGCATCGTGCCTGTGGCTTCCCCAGCCAGTACACATCACCTCAGTTTTTCTTTATCCACCATCTGAGATGGCTATTTAGCCTTCCCAGCACCACCATGTTAACCTTTCACTTCCCATGCCTTACAAGGAAGCCCAGATGAAAGGCAGCAAATGCTTCTTGTGTCAAAAGTGTTGCATTCAACTTAGGTCTTAGGTGAGAGAACAGGAGTGCTGAGGCTGGGGCTGGGCCTCAAAACAGGAAAATTCCTGATAGCACTGTGAATAAGAGTCCAGGCCTCATGCTCAGGAATCCCCAGTCCAGGCAGCAAGCAGGATCCCCGGTACTCATCCCAGAGGTGTCCCCTGCTTATTCAATCCTAGCAGAGGCACCAGTTAATGAAACCAGACAACCATTGGATCCAGACTGCCTGTCACTACTTGAGCCAATTAAGCAGAATCAGGGTTGAATCATATATGAGCCAACCCTGTATTATTCCAATAATGCCGGCAGTATGGGAGAGCAGCAGGTCATCCACAAAAATCTGCTGTGCCCCATCCCATGGCCCCCATAAACCAACTGCTTATATTGGGTAGAAGGACAAATGTACAAGGGGAAGTAGGCAAAAGGAATAAGAACTGGTGTAATGGTTACTGGTTATAGCAGTGGTTCTCAACCTTCCTAATGCCGCGACCCTTTAATACATTCCTCATGTTGTGGTGACCCCAATTTCATTCTTACAAATTGAACATAATTAAAGCAGAGTGATTAATCACAAAAACAATATGTAATTATGTATGTGTTTTCTGATGGTCTTAGGCGACCCCTGTGAAAGGGTCGTTCGACCCCCAAAGGGGTCGGGACCCACAGGTTGAGAACCGCTAGGTTATAGGCAATGCAGGCTCAGCAGGCTGGGATGCTATTGTTTTGGCAACAAGGTTGTTAATTTTTCCATGATAATAGGCCAGTGATGGTGAACCTTTTGAGCTCGGTGTGTCAGCATTTTGAAAAACCCTAACTTAACTCTGGTGCCGTGTCACATATAGAAATTTTTTGATATTTGAAACCATAGTAAAACAAAGATTTATATTTTTGATATTTATTTTATATATTTAAATGCCATTTAACAAAGAAAAATCAACCCAAAAAAATTAGTTCGTGTGTCACCTCTGACATGCTTGTCATAGGTTCGCCATCACTGTAATAGGCAGTTCTCAGATAAGGAGAATAGACTTCATTCCAGGTTTACTCCTATGTCTTGGGCGTACAACTCTCAGCGAGGTTAGAATGTGCTTTCTCTAATCAAGAACAGAACAATCATGGTTAACAGAGCATGATTAATATTTCTTTTTAAAAAATATATATTTTTTTATTAATTTCAGAGGGGAAGAGAGAGATAGAAACATCAATGATGAGGAAGAATCATTGACCGGCTATCTCCTGCACGCCCCTACTAGGGATTAAGCCCGCAACCCGGGCATGTGCCCCTGACGGGAATCAAACCTGGGACCCTTCAGTCCACAGGCTGATGCTCTATCCATTGAGCAAAACCAGCCAGAGCCATAATTAATATTTCTTATAACTGTTAATGTAAAAAAAAAAACATTGAAACCTGTAAAGAATTTTTGTGAGTTTATTTGAGCCAAACTGTTGACATATGCCAGGAAGCAGAACCTCAATGAATTGAGATAATGCTCCGGAGAATGTCGGGTTACATGTGTATTTATACATTGCAATCAAAGGAAAGGGATGTAAGTGGGTTACATGAACTCATTGGTGATAGACTAGAGATGTGGGAGAAAGCAAAGCAGGGAAACCCCTGGGATTGGATAAAAAGCAAAATGAGCCCTGGCCGGTTTGGCCCAGTGGATAGAGTGTCGGCCTGCAGACTGAGGGGTCCCGGGTTCGATTCTGGTCAAGGGCATGTACCTTGGTTTCGGGCACATCCCCAGTGGGAGGGGGGTGCAGGAGGCAGCTGATTGATGTTTCTCATCTATGTTTCTAACTCTGTCTCTCTCCCTTCCTTTCTGTAAAAAATCAATAAAATATATATTTTTTAAAAAGTAAAATGATGGAGAACAGCATGGAGTTTCCTCAAAAAACTAAAAATGGAACTCCCATTTGACCCAGTGATCCCACTTCTAGGAATATATCCCAAGAAACTAGAAACACCAATTAGAAAGGATATATGCACCCCTATGTTCATAGCAGCACAATTCACCATAGCTAAGATCTGGAAACAGCCTAAGTGCCCATCAGCAGATGAATGGATTAGAAAACTGTGGTACATCTACACGATGGAATACTATGCTGCTGTAAAAAGGAAGGAACTCTTACCATTTGCAACGGCATGGATGGAACTGGAGAGCATTATGCTAAGTGAAATAAGCCAGTCAATGAAAGAAAAATACCATATGATCTCACTCATTTACGGATAATAAAGACCATTATAAACTGATGAACAAAAATAGATACAGAGGCAGAGAAGCATTGATCAGATTGTCAAACCTCAGAGGGAAGATGGGGGGGGGGGGGGGGGGGTAAGAGGGAGAGATCAACCAAAGGACTTATATGAAAACATAAATAGGCCTAACCAATTGACACAGACAACCGGGGGGTGAGGGCATGAGTAGGGGGGAGTAGGGGGGAATGTGGGGATAAGGACACATATGTAATAACTTAATAAAAAAATTAAAAATAAATAAATAAAATAAAATATATACAAAAAGAATTATGGCATTTAAGCATAAGGAAATGACCCTTATCATTTGTTTGCACTCTGTCAGATTATTAAATAATTATAAAGATTTTATTACTGCATTCTTAGATGGATGGGGACTCACTGGAGAAAGTTAAAAGAATATGGGTGACTTGAAGGACAAGAACAAAGTTGTTTTTTTTAAACAAAGCTGTTTTTTTTAAACAAAATGCTAAAGAAATTTTAGATTCTACCTATAAGAGAGACTTAAGAGTTATTTGCCTCTAATTTCATGGATATAAAAATAAATAAAGGAGTCCTGGGCAAAAAAAAAAAGAAGAAGAAAAAGAAGTAAAATGATATACACATACTTAGGTGGGTGCAGAAACAATTAACATAACAATGAAGGAATTTGTGGTAACTGTCCTGGTGCCCAGGCATATTAGGTTGTGCCCTAAGGGGTCCAGAAAAAAGGAAGTTACAAGTTACCCAGACATTTCAAGGGTATGTTATTATAGATGCAAAAAGACAGATGGGCTCAGTTAAGGTCAAGGTTGACCTTGTCAGGGAAGATACTGGCCTAGGACGTCACTACCCACCATAATTGCTTTTAGTTAGAGTTTAATATCAGACCATCCTCTGTGGTTACTTTAGGTCTCTGAGTTTGCAAGACCGCTATGCAGGCCTCCCCTGAGCTTGTCAGGTCAGCATGTGGCCCCTTTCGTCCACATAAATATAGCTAACAATCACCGTTAACAGAGCATGATTTTATTTCTGCCCCTAACATAAAGAAGTTAGGTCTGTGGGCTCTACTGATTGGTAGTTGGAGCCAAGGCAGGGTGTAGATGATCATTGATAATGTTAATGGTTGTACAACAGTGTGAATAATTAATGCCACTGAATTGTATAGGTAAAACACTAAAATTTAGGTTATGCTATTACAATATGTAATTTGGGTTATTTTACCTAAATAAATAAATAAATAAGAAAAAGCACACAGATGGAAAGTGTCTATTCTGTTTTCCAGAAAATTTCAACTCACATTGCACATTTAAAATTTTTGTACTTTACTCAGGAAAAAAAAAAGAAAAAATAGAATAATAATAATAATAATAATAATAATAATAATAGGACTGTTAGTTTAGATAATTGCATCAGGTGTCTGGACCGGTGGTTTGGACCAGACCTGGGTTCAACAATCATGGTACTTGAGTCCTGGCTAGGAAAGAATTCAGAGCCAAGACTCAAACTAGAAGAGAACATCTATATAAAAAGCCAGTGACCACAATGCTGGAACGACCAATATGACCGGTCACTATGACGCCCACTGTGGCCAGCAAACCTGCTCGATCAGGGGGTGGGGCTGGCCGACCAACCTCCCGCTGCCCTTCCCCCCAGCTGGCCTGCCCTTGATTGGGTGGGAGAGTCCGATCAGGAGCAGGCTGCTGGCCAAACGCCACCCCCTGCACTTCCCCCAGCCAGCCCCACCCCGACCTGTCCACCCTACCACGATAGGGCCGCAGTCCCTTCCCCCCCGCAGCCCTGCCACTGATTGCACCCCTCGGTTTATGGCTCTTGTGAATTGAGAATATTTAGGTAAATAGCTCTTGCAAGACCAGATAATTAAGGAAGGGGCAGTGACTTCAGGAATGTGCATTAGGAACATTGATTAACTTAGGAACAGAGTCCGGCCGCTAGTTTTCTACGTTCTTTCACAAATGGAGTTAATTATGGGCTAGCAAAAGAGTGCAGTAGAAAGCAGGTTACTGGGACAAATTCAGATTGCTGGCCCCCAAAATGTCTTATGCTCCCCATCACTGGGTCTTCCATCCTAAGGGTTTTAAAGGTGGGGATTTTAGGGAAGATCCCAGGGGAAGACCTCAATAGAATATTCAGCAGCTTTCTAGGTGTGCGCTTTCAGGGTCGGAAATGAGTCAGCACCAGGGCCCGGGGTCATTCCTCAGTACAGCTTGCCCTGATGTCAGCCATCGCATTGCTTGTCCGGTTTTCCTCTTTTCGGGGCCTGAAACACCATTGAGGCCTAAATATCATCTCTAGGGAGGAAAGGTCACCTTGAGGGTGAGGCCCCATCCTACAATTGTCCTTTGCTAGGCACCCAGGGCTTCGGGTCTGTGGTCCTCTCTGTTTCTTTGGTGCCACGCCTGCTAAGAGGAAGCGGAAGTTTCTATTTGAAGCACCCGCAGTTTTACCCTTACCCGTGAATGATCTTCACTGGCGGGAAGTCTCCAGCACCAATGCTAAGAGCATGATCTGGCTGCTCCAGTTTCTCTCGCTTCTCTCCGGCCTTGGCCCAGGTAAATGCCCGTACAAACCCATGTAGTCACGGAGGGACTCCCTGGTGTTGGGCTGCTCGCTCAGTCTAAATCCCCTATATTCGGTGTCTGTCTGTCTCTCTGCCAAGGCTCTGCGTGGGGCTTGAGATGCTATCTGATAAGCTGCTACCTTCTGTCAATGTTAAATGGTGTAGTTGCTACCTAAAGTTGTATCTGCATCTAAGGGAATTGTCTCCGGGGGCATGGGCAGCGAGCTTTTCTAAGATAAGACTCTTTGGAGTTTATCGCCGGCATGTTGAAGAATAAGAAGCCCTAAGATTAGGAAAGGAAATGCTTTTGCCCAATTAGCTACTGTCTTGCTGCATGATGTCGGGTACATTACTTATTCTTCCGGGGCCCCACTGTTATCATCTAAAGTATTAATAATAACCTATGAATCGGTGTAGCAAAAATTTCGAGGCTCAACAAAAAACACTCGACATAGTTCTCTTAGTTTCGGTTTAGATCGGCTGCAATAAGAATGAAAAATAAAAAGCGTTCAGCTTGCTCTTCCTTTGATGCAAACCATGGGCTATGTGGTCCGAAAAAGTACCTTATAAGGCAGAGAGAAATTAGTTGGTCCTGCCTGCCTCTTGTTTCCTGTTGTGTGTTACCTATAAAACATCACAGTTGTATGTGATGTTTGGGCAACGGCAACTGGTTCATTGGCGCCAACGTATAGGATTAAGGGATATATGGGCCAGGAGACAAGGCAGGAAAGCTAAGCCAGAACTAGCCAAGAGCTAATATTCCCTGAGTGTCTATTCTGTTTTACAGGCACCAGACCAAGCACTTAGATGCATTATATATGTACATAAGCCTGTGACAGTTTCATGAGTCTGTACCATCCCCATTTTTACATGTGGAATTATGATAATTTCAATAACTTGCCAACTTTCATTAGCTAGCGGGTGTCAGGCTCTTGTGATAGTTCTGAGAAATAATGGCAGTTGAACAAACGGCAGCAGCACAAGAAAAAAAAGGACAGAAGCAAGTCACCACAGATGAGAATTAACTGGCCCTGGGAGTGAGGGCAAAGGTGAATTCATTAAGTCGTCCAATAAATGCTCATTGAGTACTTACTGGATGCCTTTCACTGCTCTAGTTTTGGAGACCCATCATGAACAAAGCCACAACAATTTCTGCCCTCATGGAGTTCACCTTTTTTAATATCTTTGTTTTGATTTCAGAGAGGAAGCGAAAGGGAGAGAGATAGGAACATCAACGATGAGAGAGAATCATTGATCGCCTGCCTCCTGCATGCCCACCACTGGGGACTGAGCCCACAACCCCAACCACAACCGGTACATGTGCCTTGACTGGGAATCCAACAGGAATCTCCCTGGTTCATACGTCGCAGCTCAACCACTGAGCCATGCCCACCAGGCGGAATAAACATTTTAGCAGGGGGGACAGACTACAAACAAGATAAATAAGTGAAATAGTATGTTGTATAGTGTGTAGGAAGAAGGATGGTGCAGAGTGGGGCTGTGAAATTTCGGGCAAGGTATCTAAAGAAGGTGACCAAGTTTCAGGGACAGGAAGCAGACACAGAGAGGAAAATGATAAAATCAATCTTGAAAACAAGCATAAGGAAGATGACTCATGCCAGCCCACAGTCTCTCAAGTAGGTGGAACAAAAAATTTTAAATTGTACATTTAAAAATTATTATTTTCTCTTTTGTGTTTAACGTTAATGAAAAACAAAGAAAGAAAAATAGTCTGCCTTTGGATAGAGACACACCTCAGTTCCTTTAAAAAATTTAGCCGGGAGATAAACTGTGTTGAGAGATCATCTTGCTAGGTTTAACTGGAATCAGGCGAAAATGAGTCTCCTTTGTCTCTCTGTTATCCTTTCTAGATGGGGGCTTGTCAAGTGCTAGTTAATATGCATACGAATTACCAGGGAGTCTTGTTATAATACTGCTTCTGGGATGGAGGCTCAGATTTAGTTTTCAGGTAACTCTTCCTATTCCATGGACCACACTTTGAGTAGCAAGGTCCTAGATTTCATGAGACTGAAGTCGCTTTGGGACTAGAGGGGGGGAAACATGGGAACTGATTCTCTGAATGTGCTTGCAAGAAGCAGATACAGGCAGGTATCTGCTGCCCAGGAGAGAACAGCGCTTGGAAATGGAGGCAGAGCAATCCATGTGGCTAGCCAAACGATTCTGAGGTTTTGAGTCAAAAACTTGCTGGCTCTTTGGCTAAGAGATTGTAATCCAATGACTTTCCTTCCCCTGAGCAGTGTCATCTACTTACCAACTATCCATGCTTTCTAATGTTTACTCTCTTTTTTTATTGATTTGAGAGAGAGAAAGAGAGAGACAGAAACATGGATGTGAGAAACATTGATTAGTTACATCCCTCCCGCACACACCCGAACCATGGGTTTATTGACCACTTAAATTTAATACCTTCTTTGGAGAAATATCTACTCAAGGCCTTCACTCATTTTTAATTGGATTTTTTGTCTTCTTGCTATTAACTTATAAGAGTTCTTTTTTAAAAAATATATTTTATTGATTTCTTACAGAGAGGAAGGGAGAGGGAGAGAGAGTTAGAAATATTGATCAGCTGCCTCCTGCACACCTCTTAATGGGGATGTGCCTGCAACCAAGGTACATGCCCTTGACTGGAATCGAACCTGGGACCCTTCAGTCCGCATGCCAACACTCTATCCACTGAGCCAAACCGGTTAGGGCAAGAGTTCTTTAAATAATCTGAACACTAAAACCTTTTTAGGTATGTGATTTACAAATATTTTCTCCCATTCTGTAGATTGTCTTTTCATGTTCTTGATAATGTCCCTTGATGAACAGAAGTTTTTAATTTTGATGAAGTCCAATTTATCTATTTTTTCTTTTGTTGCTCATGCTTTTGGTATCATATCTAAAAATCTATTGCCAAATTCAAGGACAGGGAAATTTAAACTTTCGTTTTCTTCTAAGAGTTTTATAATTTTAGCTCTCATATTTAGGTCATTGAGTTAATTTTTATATAGGTCTGAGTTAGAGGGTCCAACCTCATTCTTTTACATATAAATAATCTAGTTGTCCCAGTACCATTTGTTGAAGCAACGTCTTTCGCCATGCAATGATCTTGCCGCTATTGTCAAAAATTAATTGTCCAGCCCTAGCTGGTTTGGCTGAGTGGATAGAGCCTCGACCTGCAAACTGTACTTGCTTCAGTGGGGTTTTGGTGCTCACTGAGTCTGCCCCCTGAGTGTGTCTCTTATGGATGTGAAGAATTGTAATCTGGGTGGTCTCACAATGACCACTGGGTTCACTGGCTCTTGGATCTCCAAGAAGGTGCAAAGTCAGCCACTGGCTGAGGCCACCCAGCAGGAGCTACAGAGAGATCTTCAGATTCCTCCTCTTTGTTTGGGGTTTGGAGGTGCCTGGATGAGGCACAGCTGTGAAGCAATGTAGGCTGCTAAGGAGTCTTAGGTCTTCTTTTGGAAGCTCTGTGGTTCTCTGACCCAGCTACAGTTTGACATGTTTTTAGGCAGAGAAAGGCCAGGCCATTCATCTGTAAAAGCCTCTGTGCAGAGCTTGGGTGGGGTTGTAAATTAGGTGGGGCGGGGACTCAGGAAATCACCAGGGCAGAGCAAACCTCAATGGCTGCCAGTCTGCTCTGCCTTGGAGAGGTCCCTGGGTCTGTGTCCCACGGCCCCATGTAGGAACAATGATCACTGCAAGCACCTCTGCAAGAAAGCCACCCTCCCATTCCGGCCTGATGCCAGACAGTACAGTTTCTCTCCGTATGAGTCTGGGTCCCCAAATTCTCACCCGGAACTGGAGTTCAGAGCAGTCGGGAGCTCTTTTCTCCCTCCCAATTGAAAAAGATAACAGTGTACCCAGCTGCCAGCCTCTTTAGCACACGCCTCCGTACCTCTGCACTTCCACACCTCTGCACCTCCTACCGGACTCAAAGCGCTTTTCTCTTTCCTTCTAGTTGTAGAATTTCCACTCAGCCAGCCTTCCCGTGGTTCTGGATGATATTCGTTTTGTCTTTTAGTTGTAGTTTTAATGTGGTTGTGCATGGCAGCAAGTTCAGATGTTTACCTATGCTGCCATCTTGGTTCTCTGCTAGTATATTTTTGATTACGGAGTCAACCTCTCTACTTGGTACAGGTCCTCTCAGATTTTATATTTATTCTTCAGTCAATCTTGGTAATTTGCTTGTTTCTAGGAATTTGTCTATTTCATAGTATTCTCTTATAATTCCTTTGTATTTCTATAAGGTCTGCAGTCATGTCCACTCTTTCATTTCTAATTTAGTAATTTTAGTAGTCTCCACTATTGTCCTAATTAATCTAGCTAAATTATGTCAAATCTGTTCATCTGTTAAAAGAACCAAATTTTGGTTTTGTTGATTTTCTCTGTTGGTTTTACATTCTCTGTTTTGGTTATTTCTGTTCTGATCTTTAGTGTTTCCTTTCTTTTAGGCTTTGGATTTATTTTGTCCTTTTTCTAGGTCCTTATGGTGCAAAGTTAGGTTATTCAGTTGAGATGTTTTCTTTTTTAATATAGATATATATAGCTTGCTTCCTTTAACTTTTGGTTTATTCTACTTTCATTTTCCCTTGTCATTTTTAAGATCTGTCCTATGTTTCTCTTCTCTATTAAATCTCTTGAGAAATCAGCCCCAACCCTCCTTCTAAACTTGTTTCATGCTGAGCTAAAATAGCATACTATATCCCTCTTTCCTATAGACAGGCTTAAGCCAATCCCCTAGGTTGGAAACCCCAAAGTTTCTCTGATTTTTCTGTTTTTCTTTTTTTCTTTTTTTTTAGTTAAATTTATTTTGAGTGAACATATAGGTTTCAGGTGTGTTTCTATGTTTCTCTGTGTTTTTTTTAAATCAACTCAGTCCTACCTTTCTCCTCTCCTTTCTAAAACACTGTTTTCTTTATACTTTCCCAATTCTAAAAAAACACTCCATATTTCTTAATGCCTTTCAAAAAATTATTCAGTAATCATTTAAGACACTTCACATTCTAATCTCAGTCTACTTAGCATTCACTGAGTTCCCTGAGTCAAGTGTTGGGACCATGAAGAGCTGAGTAAGACATTATTCATGTTCCCAGAAGCACATCATCCAATGAATAAAATATGTCAACAAACATACCCCGAATGTCTGCTGACTTGACATCCTCACCAGAAAATTGGCATGACTTCTGCATCACCTCCATGCTCCAAGTGATCCCGCAGTGACTTATAAGGGTCGGCAAAGGGATGCTTCCCATGGGCTACCTAAGCAGCCTCCAGTTGCAGTCATAAGGTATCTTTCCAATTCTTAATCTTCTCTTCTGGTTCTAGTCCTTCATACCTGCTGCCAGCAGAGCCACTTACAGTAAACTTCATTGTCCTGCTTACTCCAAGAACATCAATATCCATGACAAGGATCCTGGGCCAAGACATTCCCAAAGCATCAATGCTGGTTACAGGCAGAGTAAAGGACCTCCTTGTGCCCTCTGGGACACACCACATTACCTGTGCCCCACCCTAAAGCAGCTATACTTGTGGCTAAAGTCTCACAGACTTTTGAACATTTACAGTAACTTCTAACCTTTACCTTCTCTAAGCATAGTGGCTCAAATCTTTTTTTCTCCTTAGACCTACAGAGAACTATTCTACCATCGTCTCCTCCTACCCTTTCTCCCACCACAAACTCCTTTCTCCTCACCCTGTACCAAACCTCCCACAAATATAAGCAGAGGGAAAGAGACATTTGAGCTCATCCTTGAAGGATCAATAGGAGTTCACTTCCTGGAAAAGGTGGGAAAGAGAGTTTGAGGCAAAGAAAAAAAAGAACAAAGAAGAAGCAGGGCATTCTTGGAAGAATCACAAATAACCAAACAATGGAGAACCTCTTGTTTTTATTCAAAACTCTGCTACAATAATATCTCCTCTGTGGAATGTTTCCTGGCACACTCCAACTCTTCCTGATCATCATTCTCACTATGTGTGCTAGCATGGAGTACATACCTCTATCAGATTAATATTTACTGAGCTAGAGCCCAGCCAGCATGGCTCAGTGGTTGAGCATTGACCTATGAACCAGGTGATCATGGTACAATTTCTGGCCATGGCATATGCCTGAGTTTAGGGCTCAATCCCCAGTTGGGGGCATGCAGGAGGCAGCCAATCAATGATTTTCCCTCGTCATTGATGTTTCTATATCTCTCTCTCTCTCCCTTACTCTCTCTGGAATCAATAATATATTTTTTATTGAGGTAGAAATAGTGCTAAGTGCTAAGAATATAGAAACAATAAACATAATTCTTACCTCAAGATTACGAAATGGAAAGGGGAAAAACAGAGAAGAACCAAGATGGCAGTGTAAGTAAACACCAGTTCTCGCTGCCTCCCACAATCACATCAAAATTACAACTAAGCCCTAGCCAGTTTGGGTCAGTGGATAGAGCGTCAGCCTGCAGACTGAAAGGTGCCAGGTTCGATTCTGGTCAAGGGCATGTACCTTGGTTGTGGGCACATCCCCAGTAGGGAGTGTGCAGGATGCAGCTGAATCGATGTTTCTCGCTCATCAACGTTTCTATCTCTCTGTCCCTCTCCCTTCCTCTCTGTAAAAAATCAATAAAATATATTTTTTAAAAAATTACAACTAAAATATAGAACAACCATCATTCAAATCAGAAATCTGGCTGAGGGAAGTCCTACAACTACAGAAGTAAAGATGAAAGTATATCGAGACTGATAGGAGGAGCAGAGGTTCAGACTGGGCTGGTCCAACTGCTGCATGTGGCGTTTTTTCAATCAGTAGGGATATCTCGGATGCAAGGGCCTCCCATAAGAAGCAAGGGGTCCCAGACCCACACCAGACCCCCATCCCAGGGTTCCAGAGCTGGTAAGAGAAGTCCCTATAACTTTGGGCTATAAAAACCAGTGGGTATTGTGGTTGAGTGATATGGAGGCTGCTGGAGCCCCAGGCAGTTCCTCTTAAAGGGCCAACATGGTACCATTTCCTCCAAGTTCCAGTACCAGCCAGTGGCTTTGGGGAACCCAGGGACATATGGGCAGGAACTGGATTGTCTGGTATTGGGGCAAGAACCCTGAGGTGGATTTCTCCCACACAGGGGTGCTCACAGGTGTCATTGTTCCTATGCTGAGACTTCCCCCATCACAGTGCTGACTGGCAGCCAAATCTGAGCTTCCATCAGCCTGGCTTACACTGTTTACTCCATCTTGGTGATTCCCTGAGACCCTGCCCCATCCAATTTGCAGCCCCACCCAAGCTGTTTGCAGCAGTTTTTCCATATGAATGGCCTGTCATAGCTCAGGCTTCAGACTTTCCTAAAATCTCTCAAACAAGCAGCAACTGACATCAGCATGCCCCAAACCTATCAATAAGAGGCCTAAGACCCAACACTAGCACCAACCTGCTTTGCTTTATAGCTGGGCCTCCTCTGGGCACTTCCAAGCACAATACAAATAGCAGCCATCTGCACATCTCTCTGTAAACTCAGGCAATGGCTGACTTTGCACCTCCCAGGAGGCCCCAGAGCCAGTGCATCTGGTGGAGAGCTTTAGACCACACCAAATTACAACTCTACACATCCACAAGTGACACACTCAAGGAGCAGACTCAATGAACACCAAAGCCCCATTGAAGCAACTTCTGCTCTATAAGGATGTTTCCTGCCCAGCAGCTCTTCTGCTGTAGTCACAGCTGGTCCTCACAGCCAATTGGCCTGAAGGCCAATTCCTTCCAGTGATGCCAATGGCAATCAAGGCTCAACTAAAACAAGATTGTTCACACAGCCCACACAGGGGTGCACCTAGAGGGGCCAGCTCAGGTGACTGGGGAGGCAGCTGAGTATATAGGGTAAGGGCTAGTGATGAGGAAAGAGTTGCCACAGAAGGTCTCTGAAAGGGAATACTGGCATGAAAGATCTATGGAGACAAAAGAGTGAGACACATGGACACCAGGGAGAAGGTCATTCCAGGAAGAGAGAATTGCAAGTGAACCAGTCCTGACCATCTCAAGGAATAGCCAAGCCAGCATAGTTTGAGCAAAGTGAACACAGGGAACAGTGATGGGACATTAGGTAGAAGAGAGAAAAATAACCAGAACATTTTGGTCTGTATAGGTCATTGTCATTATTTTGTTTTGCTTTGTTTTTTGTTGATGTTTTAATATATTTTACTAAAATTTAACATACAGAGAGAAAACAAATACTAAGTATCATCTCAGTGTACAAAATGAATACATTTGCATATACAGACACAGGCCAAGAAATAGAACATTATCAGCTCCCCTCCCCCCAATTCTCCCTTTTGCTCCCTCCTACTTGCCATCCCTCCCACCTCCTGAAAGATAACCACCATCTTGACTTCAAATAGCATAGATTTGTTTTGCCTGCTTTTTAACTTTAAAATAAATGGAATCATATCATGTATTCTGTTTATATCTGGGGGTTTTTCTCTCAAGATTTTTCCTTGTGATGTTTACTCATATGGTTTCAAGAGGGGAGAGTTAAGATGACAAATACCAGCATGTTCAAGTGCTGATGGGAAAGATGTGCTGGGAGGTAGTACTGATGCTGGCAATGTTCATGTGCCTGGCATCAAGACAATTCAGGGAACCAAGAGCTCACCCAGGAGCTGAGTGTCAGGGTTCCAAGAGACATTTCCTCCCCTACTCAGATCCTCTCCTGAGAATAAAGAGATCTCAAGAAGGTTAAGGTCATGGTTATAGTTACTGATTGATTGTTTGATTCACTCAAACAGATACTACTTTGTGTCAGGTACAGTGCTGAAATGCAAAAATAATTAAAGCCTGATTGGTTAGACAAACAAACAGAGGGCTACAAAAGAGTGTAATAATTGTTTACGTAAGTATTTATCTAAGTAAAGGATGCTAAGGAAGCATCTTCTTTAAGAATCTTTGTGCCCGGCTGGTGGGGCTCAGTGGTTGAAAATTAACCTATGAACCAGGAGGTCACGGTTTGATTCCCAAGTCAGGGCACATGCCCAGGTTACGGGCTCAATCCCCAGTAGGCAGCATGCAAGAGACAGCCAATCAATGATTCTCTTCGTTGATGTTTCTACCTCTCCCTCTCCCTTCTTTAAAATCAATAAAAATATATATTTTTTAAAAGAATCTTTGTGACTATTTCACCTTTTTTGCTCAAAAATTAATGGTTTTGAGATAAGCTCATTAGAATATGGCCATTATATATTCCCTTTAAATGATATTTATTACTTTTATGTATATCTCTTCTACTAAGTATAATCTTTTTGAGAGGGGAAAAGATGACTTTTAGTATCCTGAAAAAAGCACAAAGTAGTTGGAGTCAAAGTAGTTGAGGTTGAATCCTGACTCATTCTTTAGCTATGTAACCCTGGGAAAATTGGAAAATTACTAGTGAACTACTCTACGCCTCAGTTTTGTTATAAATTGAGATAATAGCACTCATCTACCTACCTCACAGAAATTGTTGTCGGCATCAAATGAAGTAATGTATAAAAAGAACTGTAAATTCTGATTATTCGTCCTCTAAATCTCACAAGCCCACTATGGTGGACACATAGTAGGTCATCAGTAAATGTTGAGTTTTAATCATAAATTATCAGCAAACACTTGTGGTTTTGGAACCTGTGGCAGGGAGTTGATGTAGTTCCTTGTCCCCCTCTATCTCATGCCCAGAGAAAGAACTCAGGGGCTGGAGTCAGATGGTGTGTATGGCCGAGGATAACCAGCCAGTGTGGGAGAGTAAACTGAGCCAGGATCATCGGGTCCAACAGCCCATTAACCAAGATTGCCAAACATTTTGTCGGGGTGGAGCCTTTTTGATAGTCCATTTCAACAGTTTCCCTTCTGTGTTTATAGGGAACACAGTTTCACAAACCCAAGCACCCCCATTGCTGGTGGACGGGGTGCTGGGGGAGTCGGTAACTTTCCCCCTGAAGTTTTCTGCAAAAGAAGAGATCCAGTCCATCACCTGGCTTCATAATAGAACATCTATCATCTTCATACCAAAAGATGCAGCACAAAGCCAGGTGACTGATCCAAAACGGAAAGATCGACTGAAAGTCATCCAGTCCTCCTCCTTGCAGATCAACAACCTGACAATGGCAGACAGCGGACCTTACCGTGCCCAGATATCCACAGCAACCTCCGTAGAGATGTATGATTACAATCTGTCGATCTTCAGTGAGTCAAAGATTAGATTTTTTAATTTTGTGTAGACTAAGAAATATTACATATTTTAATTCTATGTGACTGCAAATATGTGCTATGGCCTAGTAGTAAGGACTATGGCATTAAGAGCCAGATTGAGGTCCAGTGGCAAAGCAATTCAAGAACATTGCACATGGCCAGTTAGTTGACAGAACTGAGAATAGAACCTAAGTTTTGTGACTCCCAACCCAAAATCACCTCCCTTCCCCTCACAACATAAAATGGTCCCTTTCAAACTACAAGTGTAGAGTAGGTAATGGAAGTGAAATATCTATGATTTTGTTGCCATGTGCATTACATGTATTTGTCATGTAATCCTCACAAAAGCTCCAGGAGGTAGGTGCTATTTTTACCCCTGAGGCACAGTGTCAGTTACAGCAACACCCTACAATCACAGAGGTAGTAAGTGGGAGAGCTTCCCATATAACTAGCTGGTATGATGCCACCCTTTATACAAAGGTTCATCTGACCCAGTGGTCAATGTACAGAACAGTAGTCTATATAGAAAATGTTCTATAAGGATGAGTTGAAAAAGAGAACTGTATTTTCTAGCAAGGTTGTTTAATTAACAAAACAATATTTTCCCAGATAGCTCAGGTCCTCAACATAAACTTATGGAAACTATAATGACATGGTTTATGAGTCAATGTCAGAAAAGGAAAATCCGTCTAGCCATCAGTGATGCCATGAATGACAAGGAATGCTTGTCTTCCTTGGGGAACTATGGTCACATTACCTCTCCCTTGTGTTTTCTCCTCTTCTGTCTGTCTCAGATATCTCTGCTTTTCTCTTATAAGGACACTTACTGGCTTTAGGGCCCACCTAGATAGATAATCCAGGATCATCTCATCCATCTGCAAAAGACCTTTTTTCCAAATAAGATTCTTAGAATTAGAATATCTGTGTGTGTGTGTGTGTGTGTGTGTGTGTGTGTGTGTGTGTGTGTGTGTGTGGCAGGGAGTGGGAAGCGGTGGTCATCATTCAACCAAGCGGTGGTCATCATTCAATCAGGCAGAACCACTCTGGGTAATCAGTGATCATCAAGGCAGAGCTAGGGTCCTGGAGAGAGGGGACACATCCATTGGAAAGTCTGTGAACAGATCCCATGTCAGGCTCCATCACACCTGTAGAGACAACGTTCTTCTGCCACCACTCAGAAGACCAAGCATGACTTCTGCACTAACCACACTCCGGAGGCTCAATGTCCATCCCTCCTCAGGGTCTTTTAAAGTACCTCTCCTTCAAAGGCACATGCACAAAGAGATGTGCAAGCTACAACAACATGTCTTACAACAGTACAAAGGAATCTCAAGGTATGAACTGTATAGTGTTTTAAAACATTGACCAGCCCTAGTTGGTTTGGCTCTGTGGATAGAGTGTTGGCCTGCGGACTGAAGGGTCCCAGGTTTGATTCCAGTCAAGGGCACATGCCGGCTTAATACCCAGTGGGGGGTGTGCAGGAGGCAACCAATCAATGATTCTCTTTCATCATTGATGTTTCTATCTCTCTCTCCCTCTCCCTTCCTCTCTGAAATCAATAAAAATATATTTTTAAAAACGAAAATAAAACATTAACCAATTACTTCATATACCAGGCTAGGGATAGCAAAGATTTTATCTTACAGGCCATGATCAACTAATTGGGGATAACTTCCTAGAATTCATTGTTTTTGTCTGTTTAAATATGTTTTTATTTATTTATTTATTTATTTATTTATTTATTTATTTATTTTTAGAGAGAGAGAGAGAGAGGAAGGGATAGGGATAGAGAGATAGAAATAGCAATGAAAATGATATATCATCGATCAGCTGCCTCCTGCACGCCCCCCACAGGGGATCGAGCCCACAACCTGGGCATGTGCCCAGACCAGGAATCAAACCAGTGACTTATTGGTTCCTGGGTTGATGCTCAACTGCTGAGCTACACCGGCTGGACTCGAGTTCACTTTTAAAAAAGACGTTGAGGCCATGTTAAGTTTATTCATTGAGTTAACAATATTTGTTGACTATGGACAATGTACAAGAAACTGTTTTAGGCACTTGAAATGTATCAATGAGTAAAACAGACAAAGATCCCTGCCTTCATGGAGCTGATATTCTGGGTGGAGAATAAGAGGAGGTAATAAACAATGCCTGTAATGTATAAACAAATGGCACGGTATGTAAGAAAGCCATGAGTGCTGTGGAGAAAAAAAGAGATTAGAATAGCATAAGAGCATCAGGAGTGCCAACAGGGAGTAGGGCCTAATTTTAATTAGAGGGTCATACTAAGCTTCATTGGGAAATGACATCTGAGCCAAGACCTGTTGGAGGTGAGGGAGTAAGCCATGAATATATCTGGATGAAGAGCATCCAGTACATGTACTTTCTCGTGCCTTGCATAGTCAAGGAACATCAAGAAGCAAGGTGCGGAGAGAGTAATAGGAAACAAGGTTCAGTAAGAAAATTGAGGGCCACGTCATGTAAGGCTCTGAGAGCCAACATATGGACTTTCGATTCTAAATCTCAGTCCGGTTGAGAACCATTGGAGGGTTTTACAAAGAAGTAATATGATTTCACTTACTTGCTTAAAAGATTTCCTGGCTGCTCTGTTGCAAATAGATTGTAAGGAACAAAGGTGGAAGCCACTGGACCAATAAGGAGGCCATTGCGACAATCCAAGTTTGAGATGATGCTGGCTTGGACCAGGATGTAGCAGGGCAAGTAGTGAGAAGTGCTTGGATTCTGGGTATTCTTGGCTATTGGATGAAGTTGTTATTGACTAAGATGGAGAAGGCTGCAGATGGAACAGGTTTTAGAGAGAAAAACGGGAGTTCTTTTGAACATGTTGCATTGGAAATACACATTATGTCCAACTGGAAATGTCAAGTAGATGGGGTTACAAATTCGTCAAGTGGAAAAAGGTAATAATATAGCTTTTTGGTCAGGCATGAACAAAGGCTGAGGGAGACGTGACATTCATGCCAAGTATTTGCCATTGCTGTGCTAGGCTCTGTCTTATTTAACCCCCATAATGACCTAAGCAGTAGGTATTATTGCCCAGTTTTACAGGTGCTTGAAACAATTACCAATGTAGTCATGATCACGTAGCCATTAAATAACTAAGTAATGATTCTAACCCAAGTCTTAACTCCAAAACCAACATTCTTGCTGCTACATAACAGCTCCATTCATGATCACGTAGCCATTAAATAACTAAGTCATGATTCTAACCCAAGTCTTAACTCCAAATCCAGCATTCTTGCTGCTACATAACAGCTCCATTCTGGCAAGAAGATTCCACTAGTCCCACTCAGTTAACTAAGCTTAAAACATTACTCTGTCTCTTCTAGTCAGACAGTTGGAGTCATTCTGTTCTTTACTGGGTCATCTTAGGCCAAGTCTGGGTCAGTGACCTTTTCTGTACTGTTCCCATGTCCCCATTGATCCATAGCTACTGATATCTCACTAGTCACTCTTTTCTGGTCTCTGCTATCATAAATTTCTGCAGTAAAGGCTTTCTCAAATGCCTGAATACATTGCACTTCTTTGCTGTCCAGAATAACTTGCTTGCTCTCTCAGTTTCTTCACTTCTTTCTTCCCTAATGTTTTGGTTCTCAACGTGTCCTTTTCTGTCCTGCTGACATTCTGCTTCAGGGTTTCTCTGTCCCCGCTGGAGCCAGCATCATACGCAATGAGGACCAGAACTCCTGTAGACTTGTGGGAAGTGTAGTTCCCCGAGGGAGATTGGCTTCCATCTTCCACCCCAGCTAGGGATTTCTGATTATGGATGAAACAGGACTCTTGTGCCTGGCTCTGTTTTCTAACCTGGCTAAGGTAGGACTGTCCCTCAGCTTACTCTCCAAGTTGTTTTTACACAAGGGGCAAAACAGAAAGGCTATAAAGGACCCCAGGAATAAACTGAAGTGCAGAAAAGTAAGGTGATCAGCCTCATATCACCCAACTAGTTGGTGGCAAACTCAGTCTTTCCCTTTTCATTTCTCACACTGGCTTTTCTGTCTCATACCAATGTCCCTCATCATTTGGTCACCCCAGACCTCGATCCCATCAATTAGGCAACATAAACAGCGTTATTTACAGAGTATACAGATCGTAACATACAGCAGAGTGTTGGGTAGAATACAGAAACATTGAGGGGAAGGACTTTTTAAACAGAGGGCTGAGCCAAACCATTTGTCCTTAATCTGGGTCTTTTCTCTGCACACAGGACGACTGAGGAACTTACAAGTGGCTAATCACACTCAACTCTTTGAGAATGGGAGCTGTGAGATCCAACTGACCTGCTCTGTGGAGAATCCAAATGACCATGCCTCGTTCAGGTGGCAGGTCGCAGGAAACACAATCCTGGAGGAAGCAAACCTCACTATCTTTTGGGAGCCCAAGGATTCCAGTGAAGAGACATACACTTGCATAGCTAAGAATCCTGTCAGCAATTTATCCTTCTCTTTCTCTGTCCAAAGTCTCTGCAAAGGTAACAGTCTGTCTCAGGTCTCTCTGAAAGCCTTGAGCAGCTGTAGGGTGTGGCGTGACCACATGACTGACATGATTCCCCAAACAGCAGCCCAATAGGAGGCAGCCAAATATGCTGGGAGAAGACAGACACTCAATGTCTGCTCCCGAGAGGTCTCACCTTCCTCCCCCCATCCCCCCACCCCCGCCCACAAACACCCCCTCAACCTTCCTGCAACACACTCAGAGCCCAAGAGCAAAGTCCTTAGGAAGGCAGAATTGTTTCCTTCTCCTGGCTCTACCAGGCTCTGCCCTGCCCTGCCTCCCACTCCCAGAAATCCTGCCCAGAACCCGAGCTTCTGGGTAGAGATGAACCCACCCTGCCCCCCCCACCAACCCCCCCCACCCACCAAAAGTGGCCTAGAAGAGGTTAAGTGTAGGTTCTGAGAAGAACACAGAGCCTTACTCAATTGTCCTAAGTGCAACTTCTTTTTTTTTTCTTTTCAGGTGTTTTTAACGAAAAAAGTCAACTCTCGGTTATCCTATGTAGTATACTAGTGCCTTCTTTGATCTGCATCGTTGTGTCCTTAATTGTTTGGAAGAAGAAAAAAGTAGCAGGTTTTCTTTCTTCTTACTTGTCTCTTCTCCAAGGTTTCAGAGACTTTGAGTCTGGGGTTCCCATTACCTATCTTTTGGAAGACAGGGAAAGAGAGGGAGGATGCAAATACTGGTTCAGCTAGTCCACTAGGACAACACCTGGGGTGTAACCCCACACCTGCTAATTTCCTGAGAAGTGGTCCTACTGGGAAGCTAGGTCCTCAGGTCCTGCCTGCCCTTACCTTTCTGGTCTCCTCCCACCACATATTCTGGAGAGGCACCTATGGGGCTGGAGGGGTGGAAGATCTCTCTCGTTACAGTCACAAGTTTCTATTTCCTTGACTTTATTTTTCAGGTTCCTTACACTTTTCTACTCAGCAAACCCAGAGTCCTGGTGAGCTTCTCTAGACTCTTAACTCCCAGTCATAAAACAGCTAGGAATAGCCAAATTGAAGGAGAAGGGGGCCAGGCAGAGGGCTGGATAATTGGAGAGGATGGAGTCAGAATGTCATTACTCAGATGGACCAGATGGCACCAGAACTTGTCATTGTGCAAGTCTGTCCCCTGTGGGACCTACAGGGTCCTTTACAAGCATGTGGACCAGTCACTGACACAATTTCTTGGAGTGGGATTAGGGCCATTGCCCACCCCACTGATGGAAAAGCTAAGTGCCAGTGAAAGGGCTCATGGCCTGTCCACGATCCCCCAGCAAGTCCAGGGCAGGTGTAGGATTAGAGCATCAGAGGCCCAAAGACAAACTGCCTGACCCCATCACTCTGTTCATCCAGGGTTTGGGAACTGAGTAAAAGCAATCAAAAGAGAAAATGTGATAGAGACACTGGAATACGGACTCTGAACTCAGGTTAGCACTGAGTCTCATTTCCTGGGGGAGAGATATATGATGTCACGTGTAGAGGACATGCATGAGATTTAGAGTCAGAAGGTATGCATTTAAGTTCCTTCTTCGGTCATTTCCTATATAATTTTGTGCCAAGTCAATTAAATTATCTGAGCCTACAGTTCCTTATCTATAATAATAAAAGTATAATATTCTAATTAGGCCAGACGTCCTTCTGGACAACCTTCCAGATGAAGCCGGGGATGCAAAGGAAGCCAGGGCCCCGGGTGCCAGAGGGAAGCTGGTGCTGGCACTCGGGGGAAGGAAGGCCTACTCTTTTTTTTTACATTTTTTTAATTATTATTTAAAGTATCACAAATAGTAGTACATATGTCTCCTTTTTTTTTCCCAAATGACCTTCCCCCAGCCTCGCCTACCCCCGGCACATGCCCTCACCCCCCTCCCAGTGTCTTGCGTCCATTGGTTATGCTTACATGCATGCATGCAAGTCCTTCGGTTGATCTCTTACACCCCACCAATCCTCCCCAGCCAGGATGGCCTACTCTTGCACGAATTTCGTGCATCGGGCCTCTAGTCTCTACTATAATCAAACCCACCTTAAGGACCTCTGAAAGGTTTAGTCACAGGTATGTGCAATAATCCAGCTCCATTATGCTGGCCAGTGAGGATCTCTAGCTCATAAGTACGTGGCACTATTTGGTCCTAGGAGCTTCCTTGCTCACATGTGAATTCAACGGGAGGCTGAAACTTTAGGGTACCTCAAGACTATGTGCCCCCAAGCGATGAGGGCAAAAAAAATAGATCCCATTGATTGAGAAGTTTCTGGTTCAACCCAGAATGTCAAAGACTGTCAAAAATGAATGAACCTTAAGAAATGGCAATGCCTTGAACAACTGCATCTTCAGGGCCAGAAAGTGTCCCGGGGTAGGAAGGGTCCTGGGAGAATGCTTCTGCAGCTGACTGTGCCTCTCTGTGTTTGCAGCAGAGGCCCCGAGGGGCCCCTCAGGGAATGAGCCAGCCCGTCCAGAGAACACTGTGTACGCTCAGGTCACTCATCCAAACACGGTGAGTCCTTTCAGCCTCATACTCCATCCTGAGCGTTATTGTGAGAGTCATGGCGCTTCAAAAACTTGTCACCACAGTCATCTGACTAATCCAAACGATGTACACCGTTGAGGAGAGGAGAAGGCTACGGAGAGCTACAAAGTTCTACGCAGGCCCGTTCCAGCCCCAACCGCTCTCACCCCAATGGAATGTTTACTCACATCGGTAGCGACACTGCTCTCTAACTGCTTAATGCATCAGGAAGTCTGGTATCCTTCAGCTTAATTACAAGCTGCCTGAAAGTAAAAATTACGTCTTCCTCTCCCTTCCCCTATGTCTTAGCATGATGCTCAGTAAATATTTGCTGAGTGGATCAAAGTTCCATTAAGTTTGAGAGTTTCCAAAGGAGACAGATCAGTAGCAGGGAAAATGGCAGTGCTCAGAAGCAGTCTCTCAAGACAAGAGGGACAAGAATGTGCACCCCCTCCACAGTAGAGGGCAGTAAAGACATAAATAGCCCTCAACCCTCCCCACCCCTCTAGCAACAGAGCCGGATGGCCTTGGTCAGGCATCAACAATTCCCCACCTGCAGGAGGTACATTTCTAATGAACACGTTACATCCGGGCAGGCCAGTTTCCCTGTCATCTGAAAACAAATCCAGAGACTCATCATTCTCCAACTGACAGAAGCAATAGTCTAGCTAGAAATCTTTGATCCCCTCATACAGTCCCTCACTGGTATTTGTAAAGCAAGCTCCTTGAAGAAAGGGAACATGAAGGGAAACTCTTACTTGTTCAGATATTTCTTCTTGTTGTTGTTGTTTTTCCTTAATCCTCACCCGAGGATATTTTCCCATTGATTTTTAGAGAGAGTGGAAGAGAGAGGGAAAGACAGAGAGAAATATCGATGTGAGAGAAATACATCAATTGCTTGCCTCCTGCACGAGCCCTGACCAGGGCCTGGGCCAGGAGGAGCCTGCAACCGAGGCACATGCCCTTGACTGGAATCGAACCCAGGACCCTTCGGTCTGCAGGCTGACATTCTATCCAGCGAGCCAAACCTGCTAGGGCCTGTTCAGATATTTCTATTGTCCTTCCCATTTCCTCTTGAAGACAAGATGAATCACTCTCAACAAACCAAGAAACTAATCTGCAAATTTAACTTTTTCTTTAGGGTCAAATTGTACTTTGGAGAGTTTTGGAGATCTTGAAAACACCCTGAATATTTTAAATTAATTTTAAATGTCAAAACCTCTAAGCACAGGGGACTTCTGTTATTGCTATATTTTGTATTCCAAGCAGAGCCACTCTTAATACCAGATTTTCCTCCTACCGGTTCCCCCTGCTTGAGGAGAGCCCAATGACTTGATGACCAGGCAGGTAGAACCACAGGGACAAAATAGAGCAGGCAGCACCGTCCAGGCACAGCCAGTAAAGATCTGAGACAAAAGACAGTAGAGTTGGGTTCAGGACAAGAATGTTTCCTTTTCTTCACAACACTTGCTAAGAAAGTCACCCTTCTGTCTTTGATTCTTGATCCCACTGGTTCGCTGGGGTGTGCTTCTGTTTGGGGTACAGAAAATGCCACTAAACCAGCCGTGGGCAAACTACGGCCCGTTTGAAATGAATAAAACTAAAAAAAAAAAAAAAAAAAAAAAAAAAAAAAAGATCGTACCCTTTTATGTAATGATGTTCACTTTGAATTTATATTAGTTCACACAAGCACTCCATCCATGCTTTTGTTCCGGCCCTCCGGTCCAGTTTAAGAACCCATTGTGGCCCTCGAGTCAAAAAGTTTGCCCACCCCTGCACTAAACTCACAGGTTTGAGAGCTGGCAGTGTTTGGTCTCTAGCTCCCCTTGCTAAGCACTCCCTAGAACTTTGTCACACTTCCTTTCTCTGGGAATATATCTTTGCATGAGTATCTCTTTGTCTGCATGAGCCCAATGAGTGTAATTCCTTTTTATAGAAAACGGAAATCCCAATACCTATGAAAAATAATGATTCCTCTACAATTTACTCCACAATTTGTCAACCCAAACAGGTAAGCCCATGATTGCCCCACATTCTTACCTCTCTCATCAGACCTATGACTTTGCAAAGAAAGTAAAAGCTAAGGAGCCATTTTTGCCCTGGATGGTTTGGCTCAGTGGATAGAGCGTTGGCCTGCAGACTAAAGTGTCCCAGGTTCAATTTCAGTCAAAGGCACATGCCCTGGTTGTGGGCTCAATCCCCAGTAGGGGGCAAGCAAGAGGCAGCCAAACAATGATTCTCATCATTGATGTTTCTATCTCTCCCTCTCCCTTCTTCTCTGAATTCAATAAAAAAAATTTTTTTAAATTAAAAAAAAGTTAAGGAGCCATTTTATAGATGAATAATGCCAGCAGAATACAGAAAGTCTCAGGACATCACCAAAACATATCCAAAAAGTCTTGTTGTATTAGGATCACCATGCATATCTGAGTTTTCAGCCTACTTGTGTTTTAATTCTGCCGTATGCTGTGTATCAATATTCTTGTCTGCCTTCTAGTGCTCTCCAGACCTCCTGTGTAGCCATGGGGTCTGGCCAGGGGCTCTGGTCCTTATTAACCTACTTCATTTTCCTCTTTTTCCCATTAAAATAAGCCCATTCCTTCCAGGGCAACTGTTCTTGACAACATCGTCTAAGTTGCTGAAATGTCTCAAAGGAATTCAGGAATGACACATCTTCTCCTGATCCCATGGGAGACAACAGAGCATGATTTCTGCCTGGAAACAGAATTTGAATATCTAGGATGATCACGTCCAGTCCTTCAGACTTGAACCTGCTTACCAAGGTCAAACACCAGTTAACTGCCACGGCTCCAAAGTGGAAACCATTCCCACCTGCCATGATATTTTGAACTTAATTTAAAAAATCAATTTGTGCCCTAATTGGTTTGGCTCAGTGGATAGAGCGTCGGCCTGCGGACTCAAAGGTCGCAGGTTCAATTCCGGTCAAGGGCATGTACCTTGGTTGCAGGCACATCCCCAGTAGAAGGTGTGCAGGAGGCAGCTGGTCGATGTTTCTCTCATCGATGTTTCTAACTTTCTATCCCTTCCTCTCTGTAAAAATTCAATAAAATATATTTCTTAAAAAATCAATTTGCAATGGATAGTATAAAAATAAATATATTGATGCATATTAGCATAACCAATAGACACAGACACTGAGGTGGTGGGGGCTTGCCTGGGATGGGACTGGCTGTGGGGAGGGGGGTCAATTAGGAAAAAAGAAGACATATGTAAAACTTTAGACAATAAAAAAAATATTTAAAAAATAATAATAAATATATTACAATTCGGTGTTCTTGAATATTTTCAGCTGAAAATTCTCATGAAAAATGATTTTAAAGTTGATCAGGGCTGCCACTTGGGGAAACCATATTTTTTAATAGACACATGTGGCGTGTGGGGAAGTTCCGCCGCTCGCATCTACAGACACGGAGTACAGTGGGTTAAGGAATAACATCATTTGCAGCCCGTGATCCAAATAACATTTTCTAATCTGCTTCAGGACAAAACATGCTTCAGATAACGTGCCTGGATATTGACTTTCCCTTTGGTAACTAAGCAAATGAAGTTATGGTTGATGGAGAGACTCTAATTCAGAAGACAACCAGTTCTCTCCTTTTAGAAAGCAGCAGAATTGTGACACATCAGTATCGCTTTGCCTGTGTGGGCCAAATGAGTATGATTACTTCGGGAGAGGATACGTTGGAAGACAATACAATGTGTTGATTATGTGTGTTGTCTTTGGAATTGGATAGACTCGTGCTCAAATCATGTACTAGACATATCTCCTGGAACATGCTACCTAAGCTCTTTGGTCTCCTAGACTGAAAAAGGAGGGTGGTAATACATCAGCCCTATTACTCAAACCAGGAACCTGAGTTATCTTTGACTTCAGCTTCTCTATCACCTTTGGACTCTACCTTCAAATATATATCTGAACCTTATCCACGTCTTTACAAATCTTCAACATCATCCTATATCTAATCATTATCATCTCTAACCTGGAATACTACAATAAACTGAACAATTCTCCCCAGTTTTGCTCTTACCTCCCTCCACTCCATTTTCCAAAAGACAGCCAGAGTCGTGTTTTTAATATAAATCAGATCTTTCACTTGTCTGCTTAAAACTCTGCAATATTTCTCCATGCACTCAGAATGAAATTGCATCTGCATGACCCTGGATGGTCTCTGGTCCATCTCCAGCCTCAGCTATTATCACTCTCCCACCGCTATCTCTGTTTATCCTCCCTGATCTTCTTTCAGCTCCTCCATTAAAGGAAAGAGTTTTTTAAGGTAGAATTATTCACATCTGCCTTAAGGCCCTACCACTGCCTGCCCAGCTCCTCCTCACTCTTTAGGTCTCAGTTTACATATGTCACCTTCTAAAAGAGACCTCTCAGACCTCTCTATCCGGTGCTCTCCCCATTTTTCTGTCACACTTCCATGTCATTTATCATATGTCAAAACATACTTATTTTTATTGGTTTAATATGAGTTTCTCCTACTATACCATAAACTTTCCAGGAATAGGGACCATAATAATTTTATTTATCACTGTTTCCCTAGCACCTAACACAGTATCTAGCACATAGAAAATGTTCAACAAATATCTTAACTAAATGAATGAATGTGTTATAAAATTGTATGGGAATTAAATTAGATAATGTACCTGAAGTCTTTAGCATAGTGCTTAGCTCATAAACGTGCTCAATAAATGTTAGCTATTGTTGTTGCTGTTGTTATTAAATTACATTCTCCTGAACTGACAGAAGTGGGATTCCTGGACCATATGAAAATTCTATTCTTTGATTTTTTAAAGGAAACTTCATACTGTTTTCCATAGCAGCTGTACCAATTTACATTCCCACCAACAGTATACAGGAGTTCCCTTTCCTCCATATCCTCACCGATGCTTGTTATTTTTTATTTATGTTTTTGTATAGCCATCCTAACAGGTGTGAGAGGGTATCTCCTTGTGGGTTTGATTTGCATTACCCTAATGAGTAGTGATGTTGAGCACCTTTTCATATACTTGTTGGCCATTTACATGTCTTCTTTGAATGAATTCTATTCAGATCCTTTGCCCATTTTAAATTTGGGTTATTTGGTGTTTACTATTGAGTTTTGGGAATTTCTCATATATTTTGGTGTGTTTTTTTTAAACAGAAAGAGAGGAAGAGAGAATGAGAGAGAGAAAAAAAAAACACTAATGTAAGAGAGAGATATCATCTGTTGCCTCCTGTTCACACCCCGAATGGGGATTGAATCCACAACCTGGACAAGTGACCTGACTGGGAATAGAACTGGTGACCTTTCAGTGCATGGGACGATGCTCAACCAACTGAGCCACACCAGCCAGGGCTATATTTTGAATTTTAATCCTTTATCCGGTGTATGGTTTGCAAATGTTTTCTCCCATTCCATAGGTTGCCTTTTCATTTTATTGTTTTCTTTGCTATGCAGAAGCTTTTTAATTTGATATAATTCCATTTCTCTTTTTCTGCTTTTGTTGCCTTTGCTTTTGGTATCAAATTCAATAGATCATTGCCAAGACCAATGTCAAGAGGCTTTTCTCCTATGTTTTCTTCTAGAAGTTTTTCAGTTTCAACTTTTATGTTTAAGTCTTTAATCCCTTTTGAGTTGATATTTATGATAGTATACTAGTAAAACAAGAGGCAAACTTCATTCTTTTAAATGTGGATATACAGTTTTCCCAGTACCATATATTGAAGAGACAATCTTTCCTGACAATGTGCTTGGCACCTTGTCAAAGATAATTTTACCATATATATCAAGGGGTTACTGTATTTCTGGGCTCTCTAATCTGTTTCAGTCGATGTCTAAGTCTGTCTTATATCAGGACCACACCATTTTAATTACTGTAGCTTTGTAGTACATTTTGAAATCAGGACATGTGAGCCCTCCAACTTTTTGAAGATTGTTTTGCCCATTAGGGTTCCTTAAGATTTCCCATGAATTTTCGAATGAGTTTTCTTCTTCTATTTAAAAAAACCATTGTTATGATGGATAGGAATTGCATTGAATCTATAGTTCTCATTGGGTAGTGTGAACATTTTTAGAATAGTAATTCTTCCAATCCATAAACATGAGATGACTTTTCACTAATTAGGTCTTCTATAATTCCTTTCACAATGTTTTGTAGTTCTCAGTGTACAAGTCTTTTACCTCCATGGTTAAATTTATTACTAGACATTTTATTCTTTTTCTTACCTTTCTTTTCATTTAGTTTTATTGCTGAAAGTAATACTGATGTTCCCTTCCCCCCACCCCCATTGATTCCCTCCACTCTGCTCCTGCACACCACCCCCTCCCTGGCCTTCACCACACTATTGTCTGTCCATGGGTTATGCATATATGCATATAAGTTCTTTTTTTTTTTAATATATTTTATTGATTTTTTACAGAGTGGAAGGGACAGAGAAAGAGAGCTAGAAACATCGATGAGAGAGGAACATCGATCAGCTGCCTCCTGCACATCTCCCACCGGGGATGTGCCCGCAACCCAGGCACATGCCCCCAACCGGAATCGAACCCGGGACCCTTCAGTCCGTAAGCCGACGCTCTATACACTGAGCCAAACCGGTTTCGGCTATGCATATAAGTTCTTTAGTTAATTACCAGAAGCCGGTCCATCCTTGCTGCTTGACACAGTCGCTGCAGGAAAGAAACATCTGCACAGCATATGTTTCAAGGGACCTGGCGTATATAGCATACTGTTCTTAATATGTTCGCTCTCCTTAGCACTATGTGTTTTAACCAAGGTCACCTCTCCGAGAAAGGTTGTTTCCCTAGGTAGGGGTTTTTCCCTGAAGTTAGGGAGGGGATAAAACCCCTTAACTAAGTGCCAGGCAGGTAATCACTTTAACTACAAACAATCACGTTTAAGCTACATAATCTTTACTCCCTGGAATGGAGATAAGAAACGCCCTAACCTTTGCAATAGAAATTGACAGGATTAAAATCAACTCGTATAAATACAGCTGTAACAAGACAATAAACACCAGAACCTGGCTGGAGAACCTAGCAAGAGAACATGGCTAGAGAACCTGGACAGAACCGGCTGGAGATCCTGGCTAAGAGGAACCTCACCATGATGATCATCTGAATGCTGCCTTTGTGTCATTCCTTCTTTGCTGACTCCATCCACACCTTGGGGAACCCCTGGACCTGCTGGGGCTGGACCACAACAGTTAATCTCTCCCCACACACACACCTTCCCTCTAAAATTCATCAGCCTGTTGCATGCTTCAATGTCTCTGGATCTATTTTGTTCATTAGATTCTACATATAAGTGAGATCATATGATATCTGTCTTTCTCTGACTAGCTTCTTTCACTTAGCACAATACTCTCTGGGTGCCCATGCTGTCTCAAAGGGTAAGAGATCCTTCTTTTTTACAGCTGCATAGCATTCATGGTGTAAGTGTATGAGTTTTTTTATCAACCCATGATGGGCATTTGGGTTGTTTCCAGATCATAGCTATTTTAAATAACACTGCTATGCCCTAGCTGGTTTGGCTCAGTGAATAGAGCATAGGCCTGTGGACTGAAGGGTCCGGGGTTCGATTCCAGTCAAGAGCACATCTCTGGGTTGCAGGCTCAATCCCCAGTGTGGGGCATGCAGGGGTCAGCCAATGATTCTCTCTCATTGATATTTCTAGCTCTCTCTCCCTCTCCCCTTCTCTGAAAATAAAAACATAAAAAATCCCACATAATAAAAGGCTAATATGCAAATCAACTTAACCGTGAAATGACCGGTTGCTATGATGCACACTGACCACCAGGGGCAGACATTCAATGCAGGAGCTGCCCCCTGGTGGTCAGTGCACTCCCACAGGGGGAGCACTGCTAAGCCACAAGCTGGGCTCATGGCTGGCAAGCACAGCGGCAGTGGAGGGAGC